AGACATGCTGTAGCCTTTTCACATTGGTTTCTTTGACTTAATAATATGCAGTTAAGTTTCCTCCATGTCTTTTGTGGCTTGGAAGCTCATTTGAGGACTGAATAATATTCCATTGTCTGGATAAACCACAGTTTATTTATCCATTCACCTCCTAAAGGACATCTTGATTGCTTCCAAGTTTTGGCAATTATGAATAAAGCTGTTATATAAACATCTGTGTGCAGGCTTTTGTGTGGACATAAGCTTTCAAATTCCTTTGACCAAATACTAAGGAGTGTGATTGCTTGATCTTATGGTAGGAGTATCTTTAGTTTTTTGGTAAATAATTGCCAAACTGTCTTTTAAAGTGGCTGCACCATTTTGTATTCCCATCAGCAATGAATGAGAGTTCCTGTTGCTCCACAGCCTTGTCAGCATTTGATGTTGTCAGTGTTCTGGAGTTTGGCCATCTCATAAGTGTGTAGTGGTATCTCATTGTTTTACTTTGCATTTTACTGAAGACATATGATATGGGGCATCTTTTCATGTACTTATTTTCCATCAGTATATCTCCTTTGGTGAAATGTCTGTTAAGGTCTTTGACAATATTTAAATCAGGTTGTTTTTCTTATGGTTGACATTTAAGAGATCTTTTTATGTTTTGGATAACAGTCCTTATCAGATGTGTGTTTTTCAAGTGTTTTCTCCCAGTGTATGGCTTATCTTATTCTTCTCTTGACATTGTCTTTCAGAGAGCAAAAGTTTTTAATTTCGGTACAGTGCAGTTTATAAAATATTTCTTTCACAGATTGTGCCTTTAGTGTTATATCTAAAAAGCTGTCACCATACCCAAGGTCATCTAGGTTTTCTCCTATGTATTCTCTAGGAGTTTTATAGTTTATGTTTTGCATTTAGGTCTGTGATCCCTTTTGAGTTAATTTTTATGAATGGTATAAAGTCTTTTTTATTCATTTTTTTGCATTTGGATGTCCACTTGTGCCAGCACCATTTGTTGAAAATACTTTTCTCCTTTATGTTGATCATTTTGTAAGACCCCATTTATTATCTGGAGTAAAATAAAGGTGAAATAGTAGTAATATAGAGATTGTAAATATCATGAGAAGTCATGTTTAAAAATAGAGCTTTTTCGGGGAGCCTGGGTGGCTAAGTTGGTTAAACATCTGCCTTTGGCTCAGGTCATGATCTCAGGGTCCTGGGATTGTGCCTCGAGTTGGGCTCCCTGCTCGGTGGGGAGCCTGCTTCTCCCTCTCCTTCTGCCCCTCCCCTCACTCTTTCTCTCTCTCTCCCCCTCAAATAAATAAAATCTTTAAAAAAAATAAAAATAGAGCTTTTTCTCTAAACTACATATGACTTAAAATCTTTTAATTTATTAATTTATTATTTTATTGAACTATAGTTGGTATACGATATATTAGTTTTGTGTGTACAACATAATGATTCGACATTTGTATATATTACAAATGATCACTATGACATATCTAGTTACTGTCACCAGCAAAATTATTATATTATTGACTAATATTTCCTATGCTGTACTTTATATCTTTGTGACTGATTTGTTTTATAACCAGAAGTTTGTACCTTTTGATTCCCTTTCCATATTTTGCCCATCCCCCTACCCCTCTCCTCTGGCAACCACCAGTTTATGAGTTTGTTTCTGTTTTGTTTTGTTTTGTTTTTTAGAGTACATGTAAGTGAAATGGTATTTGTTTTTCTCTGTCTGACTTATTTACTTAGCATAATACCCTCTAGGTCCATCCATATTGTCACAAGTGGCAAGGTTTCATTCTTTTTTTATGGCTGAGTAATATTTCATTATGTGGATTTGTATTATTTAAATATATTTATATTTTATATATATGAGTAATCTGTATCACACCACACCACACCACACCACACCACACCACATCATCTTTATCCATTCATTATTGATAGACACAGGTTGCATCTTTATCTTGACTGTTGTAAATAATGCTGTGGTGAACATAGGGATGCAGATATCTTTTCGTATTAGTGTTTTTGTTTTCTTTGGGTAAATACCCGGAAGTGGAATTACTGGATTGTCTGATATTTCTATTTAAGTTTTTTTTTAATTCTAACTTTCTATAATGGTTTAATCCTTCAAAAAATTTGTTTATTATTGAATGAAGCTAAAATTAATTTATTCACATCCTTCATGTAACACAGTCTTTTTTTTTCCTGGCTGAATAATACCTCTAACTCTTTAATATTTTTCTCCTAAGTCTATATTCTATTTGTTACTGACTACTGCACAGCCATGTAACAGTCCTTCTAGTTTTGCCATTTAAAATGGACCAAAAATAGGTATCATTTCTCTTAGGGTTTGTGTTCTTTTCGTGCTATAACAAATTGCCACAGACTTGGTAACTTAAAACAACACCAATTTATTCTCATATATTTCTGGAAATCAGATGTTGGAAATGAATCTTATGGCCCTAAAAGCAAGTTATTGATGAGACTAATTTCTTCTGGAGGCTCTTGGGGGGAATCTACTTTTTCTGTTTTTCCAGCTTCTAGAGACTTTCCTCATTTCTTGGCTCTTGGCCCCACATCAAATGCCTTTCTTCCCTTTTTTTCTTGTCACATTGCCTTCTCTAACATCATCCCTTTTACTTTCCTCTTATCAGATTCTTATGAATATTGCGCTCACCTGGATCATCTAAAATAACTTCCCCATTCCAGTGTCCTTAACTTATAAAACTCCCTTTTGCTATGTAAGGTAACATATGCGCAGGTTCTGGGGAGAAGGATGTAGTCATCTTTGGGGGCCTGCTATACAGTTGAAGAGATAATAAAATGTATGTGTTTCACTCCTATAAATGTATTTCTTTGAATTTTGTTCAGCTGTTCAGTTAATATTTACTTTTTTGTAATTGTTCCTTATTTGTCATTCCATATTTTAATTTTATGGTTTATTTTCATTCTTTTGATTATCAGTATTATTTTATTTTGCATTTTTCCCTATTTATGAAATCTGTTTACAAAAAGCTAATGGTAGCAGTAATGGTTTTAGAGTGTTAGTGTTTTCAAGTATACTTCCCTATTAATTGGTCCACATTTGTGAAATCATTCACCCTCTTTTTGGACTCATCCTGCAGATGTACGCAAACACGTGTTTTTACCATCGTATCTTGTACATTTTAAGTTGTTCCTTATCCTCTTGTCATGTGATTCTTTTGGTAGCTAGGAGATGCAAAGAAGGAACCCTCAAGAAGCTTTAGGTTCATATGGGTGTAATCTTTTCCAGAGCCCAGTCCTCATGAATTTATGGTCACAAGAGCGGTTGTTTTAAAAATCAACTTTCTCTGAAGAGATTCACAGAGAAAAAATATGTAACCAATTTATTATGAAAAAAGACTCACTATCTACTATGCAAACCAGCATGAATTTATCAGGAAATCTGTGTGGATTTAGAACACAGGTCACAGATTGTTGAGTGATGGTGATATAAATGATCATTACTATTTACTGAATTCTTACTTTATGGTAGGTACCGTGCTAACAGTTTTTCAAGTATTACCTCGTTGTATTCAGAACAACCCTGACAATTTGGTATATTATCAATTTTTCCAGTGCTAAAACTGAAGATGAGAAAAACAACGTGATTAAGTCATTAAGTTGAATCTGTTCTCATTCAGTATAATTACACTCTTTCCGTTATGCCATGATGATTTTACTTGGGGAGTGTTAATGAGCTCTGACAGTTTGGTATATCCTTCTTCATTACTTTTGCTGTGAACTCCACTGGTTAGAGGGGTTTGTCTTTTGAACATTGCTAGGTTTCTGGTAAAAATAATCTTACTCATTAGTTCTACTTTTCCCAAATTTCACTCAGTTTTCTATCTGAGTTCTCTTTTTGTTAGGATACTCACCTGAAATTCATTGCAGTATAGTGAGGAGATTATAGCTTTCATTCACTGAAGTTGTACCCTGCTCAATTTGATTGGAATTGAGTTTTCAAAATATTGATCAGCATCATATTTATAAACAAGTCTCTCTTAGTGGGCATTCCTTCTGCCTATGATTACTTATTCCATTAATATTAATCCATGTAAGTTCCAATTTAAGGAACTTTTCTGATCTTATTCTCCAGTTTTGAAGTTTTCCCCTATTGACAATCTATTGTTGCTTACATATTAATAAACTATTTTCAATGGTACATGGCACAGTTCTTTAATATATTAAGATACCATGTATGACAGTGTTTCCAGAAGGTATTCCTTGCCACCACTACCTGTTTTCTTGTGGCTCTAATGTGGTTGAATTAGTTTGAAATTCCCTTTAGGGCAGATTTCAAGGGATAAAAGGTCACAATAAGGCGACATGTAGCCTATGTAGTTCTCTAAAGAAGAAATCGTGAAGTCAATTATCTTTGTAGTGGTGGTATTGGAAAGAGCTGGGGACTTGTGTTGTGCTCATTTCCTCAGTGACAGCTCAGGCCTCAGTCCTTAGAACAGTTTTCACCAATTCTAAAAACATACCCTTTGCAATACAAATACAGCTTTGTCCCAGGTTGTCACCTTGATTTGATTTATTTTTCCCGAGGCACAAATCTGACTTCAACTATATTCCATTTGAGATTTGAAAGAAATTGAGATTCTGCTTCAGTCATATTACTTCATTTTAGGTTCCACACCTCTCAGCCCAAGTGTCTTTACTGTGTGAGGTAGATGGCTTAGCTGTAGAATAAAATGAATGCCGTAGATTATACTATATTTGAAAGCATCCTGAATTTGGTTTTTGCTTCCAAGTATTTCCTTCCATTTTGTTGTTGTTTTTTTCCTTCCATTTTGTTAATGCTAACATTTAGTAACTTTTGTGATGACTTGAAAGCTGTTTAGTTTTACAATATAATGATTCTGAAGAACTGTTACAAAGATGAAAATGAAACAGAAGCATAATATACCTATGTAGTTTCCTTTAAAATCTTATTTCTTAAAGAAGTTGAAATAATTTATGTTTAATGTGTTCTCTTTCAGTATTGTGCTTCTGCTAAGCCAAAAGCAGACACTTGAAGAGCTGAAGCAGTCAGTCCAGCAGCTGAGATGCACTGAGGCAAAGTTTACGGCACAGAAAGAATTACTAGAGGAAAAAGTACAAGAAAATGATGGGAAAGAGCCACCTCCAGTAGTAAATTATGAAGAAGATGCACGATCAGTTACATCTATGGTAAGCCAAAAAGTAATCAAAAGAGAAACTTAAAAGAGTAGTATCTGTGTAATAAGTGAATACAAAAATTAATTCTTTTGCTGTGACAAATGATTACTCTTGTTAATATGCAGGTCCTATTAAACTTGTCTGTAAATGCAAAGTAGACTTGTCAGTCACCTCAGGTCACCTGGAGAACACTTCAGGAACCACCTGGTTCCTGAGTGAAGAGTCTTTCCTCTGTAGAGTCAGAGGAAAAAGCTCTTCTCTTGCTTTCAAAACTGAATGAAAGACTGCAATATTTTTATTGCTGGGAGACAGCAGGAAGGTAAGGTGTTATTCTTAAGATCGAAGTACGAAATAAGGAGAAAGCTATTTATTATTATTTTCTTCTTAAGAACAGTAGAAACTTACTTACCTGAGACTGATGATGTGTTTATTGTTTGATCTTACAAACATTTGATTTTGTTTAAAAATAGATTTTTTCTTATGAATATTCTTAAACTACAATAAACGCATTCAAATTCACCAACTGGAAATTCAACTTCATTTTATATAGTTTCATTAGCTGTTTAAGAATGTCTAATATAAATACGTTCCCTTTCCCTTCCCTACCCTTTCTCCTTCCCCCCTCCTTTCTTTCCCCTTTTCCTTCCTTTCTTCCTTCCATCTTAAGTTGGTGGTTCTCACCAAGGCGGCAGTTTTGCCCTCCAGGGGACATCTGGCAATATCTCCAGATATTTTTGGTTGTTACAGTTAGTGGGTACTATAGTAGTATCTGATGGGTAGGCCACTGATGCTTCTAAGCATCCTATAATGCACAGGACAGCCCCTGCCCTCACAGTCCCAACAAAAAAGTATTCTACCCAAAATATCAGTAGTGCCAAGGTTAAAAAAGCCCGAGCTCTGTCCTTGGCTTTTTCTGTGAGTAGCTGAATGTAGTCCATAAGTAGAACTATCATAGTTAATGATGCTTTAGCTGATATTTTAGTCATTTTTAGTTTATGTGGTTCTAAATAGTACAATTTGATTGTTAAACTTATTCAGATGTCTCCATAGGAAAAAAAGGCAGTATTTGAAAATGTGATAAATGTGGAAATGATTATGAAGTATTTAAATTACTCCTTTTCTGTCCTACCAGATAATAAGGATTTTCCTATATGTACGGGCCCTTTCTTGATTCTTGATAACTATCTGGTATATGCATTTTTTCAGAGGAACTTCTGAAGTTTATTCTTTTACTTGGGTTTTAAAAACCTTAGCTAGTAAATCTTTTGTACCCCGAGTGTAGTTTATAATATTTCCTTATCTCCATGTGGGTGTGGAATTGGTTACTTCATAGCTTGATTCAGTGGCAGATAGTTTTAGAACTGGCTGTCTAGTTTATTTTAATTAATTTTGTGTGCAGATGACCCATATTGTCATTATATTATTACGACAAAACAAGATACCCAAGTCACTAGATGACAGCATATCCTCATTTGGTAACTATGACTAAAAACGAGAATTTGAAAGTTAAAATATAACAGTTCATCAATTCTTATTTCATTAAGAACTTGTAATCATTTGCAATTTTATCTTTCATAATCACTGAAGAAAAACTTTTTCAACAAATGAATAAATAATGTTTCAGAGAGATTGTATAGTACACCTTATGAGAACAGACTGCTTTCTGGCACTTTTAAACTTTCTCTTGTACCCATTATTATGTGATGGTGAATAACACTTTGGAAAGTTTTAGAGTGATGTCACTTACTTCATTTTATTCAATTTATTTTAAATAGTTGAAATGTTAATTATAAATATATCTTATCTATTCATTGAGGCAATGCCTTAATAAGTCTTTAAGGAATTTACAATGGAATGCCATAATATATGTAGTTTAAAGTAATAAAATAGCATTTTATAAATCAATAGGGCATTTCCCAAATTGATGCCAACTAATGAGATTTTACAGTATGTTTTATAAAACAAGTAAAAATACTTGCCATACAGTGTTTTTAAAACTTACAATACTCTCACATATATCTGTGAAGTTTTTGCCTAATTCAATCTTTTCAATTAATAAGAATATTACTTTTTAATTTATTAAAAATCAGTAAAAATATTAAAACTTTAAGTAGTTTTTTCCCAAATGACTATTTAAGCATTGTTTTATGAATAGTATTACAAGAAAAGCCTGAAACTAACTTAAGTAGTTTTATTGGTATTTCTTTTTTATAAATTCCATCCTTATAAGTGTCTAAAAAATTTTTTACAAGGAAAATTTAGTTGAATATGTCAGAATTGGAAGAACTAAAAATTCAGTTATGATATCATGGAAAATCATGAAAACTTGACCTAAATATTATTTAAGAATAAGAGAAACAGTTAATTATTTTCTGTGATCCTAATTAATAGCAGTGTGATTTAGCACTCTTACTCTTCAGTGGTGAATGCTTTTGTGGAAGAGTGCCTTAAGGAACTGTATCACTAAGATGGGCCATAGATTCTTTTTTTTTTAATTTTATTTTCTTATGTTCTTATAAAAATTTTAAGGTGATTCAAATGTATAATCAGAGTTAGGGTTGTAAAGTCAGGTTCTTAGATGCATTGATGTTTATTTTGGCTATATAATTCAGTAAGAATGAAAGGCCATCTATTAATTTATAGAAATCTAAAAAAAAATTGTGGAGGCAGATAATATAATCATCTCTGTCAGGAGAAGTCATCCTCCTAATGTTGTCTTTTTTAAACCTAGGTCTAATTTTGGTCAAAATATCAAGGAGAAAATGATGAGTATTAAATATTACACAGTAATTCTCTACTGTCTGGGCATAAGTATGTTTCATTTATTCATTCAAGAAATATTTATTGAGCACCTACTATGTGTCAAGCACATTTCTAGATGATTGAGATAAAACTAATAAAAAACCCTCTCAGAGATTACAATCTGTGGTGAGTGGCAGTTAATAAAAAAGTAGTAAATTATATATTATATTAGAAGATGGTAAATGCCAAGGAATAGAATCAGAGCAGGGTAGAGGGAGGGTTGGGTGTCTAGAGGTTGGGACACAATTTAAATCCAAGTCAGGATAAGCATCACTGGGAAGCTGACATTTGAACAAAGACTGGTACAAGGAGCTACTAAATCCCTTAATTTCTGGGGAAAGAGCATTTCAGTTAGAGGTTGCACCTGTTGCAAAGGCTATAGTGCAGGAGCGTGTTGGACTAATCAAGGTGGGGTTAAGGAAGTCTGAGTGGAGGGGAAGGTGAGACTATAAGAAGTGAGATTGGAGAAGTCTTAGAGAACAGATCTTGGGTCTTTGTGGACCGTAATTAAGGATTATGGCTTTTCTCTGAGTAAAGTGGGGAGGCACTGGGTTGGAGAGTAGTAACAGAGGAATGATATGCTTTGACTTTTTATTTAAATGGATTACTGTGGCAACTATGTGGAGAATTACTTAAGGGGAACAAGGATGGAAGAATGAGATTATTGCAGTAACCCACATTATGGAAGATCACAGTTTGAGCAAGGCTGGTCACAGCAGGGGAGGTAGCAAGAAGAGTTTTGCTTCCGGATATATTTTGAAGGTTGAGCACAGGAGATTTCCTATGGATTAAATGTGAGGTATGAGAGAGAATAGTCAAGGATGATTTTAACATTTTTAGCAGGAGAACTAGAGGAATGAAATTGTTTTGAGTGGAAAGATTATATGTAGAGCAGCTTTGAAGAGAAAGAGCAAGACTTCAGTTTGTCTTTCTAAAAAAATAAGTCTTTGTCAAAATTTGGTATTTGGGCCACGAGTTCAGGAGTATGATTTGGACTGGAGATAGAAATTTGAGTTGTAGATATCAGATGATATTTCAAATCATTTGACTCTAGGTGGTCACCAAGTGAGAGAGAATAGAGAGGAAAAGAGAAACAAGGACTGAACTCTGGGGAGCTTCAAGTTAGGTGGTCTAGAAGAGGAGGATCAAGTAGGAGGCTAAGGAGTGACCAGTGAGCTAGTAGAAAATCAAAAGAATTTGGTGTCCTCAAAGTGTTCTGAGGAGAAATGAGTTCCAGAATCTGGGACATGCTGGGTTAAGACAAAAGAAACCTTTGTACTGACTGCTGGAATTTTCTAAACTTCTCATAGCCAATGCCTAGGAGGGGAAATATCACATGAACTGCAGTGTCTCTGAAAATACTGATCCAGTTTCTTTTCAAAGAGTGTCCTGAAGGGACCACAGTGCAATGGAACATACCTTGGTAAATACTGAATTAGAAGATAAATCTTTCTTATCAGATTGGGTTGTTTGCAGATTAAATGTGCTGATAATGTTGAAGGCATTTTGAGTGGTTTAAATGTTCTATAAACCCAAGGATTATTTTATTTTATTCTTTAATTCTAGCTCTGCAGGGCAGAAGAATCTGCCTTTTGGAGCTTATTAGGAAGGTGCAGTCTTTGTTGGCTGTCCTTGGATAATGATGGAAATACCAGAATTTTCTAATCCCTGAGTAACATTGATTTTCCTATTTTTGAAATTAATTAATTTGCATCACTTTCCTTCATGTTTGTTTATAGTTGTCTAGTTGTAAGAAGGTAAGTTTTCGATCAGTATCTGTTGAATTGGACTTCCTTTTCACTCCAGAGTAATCTAGTTGTTTTACTTTATAATAGCATGTGCTGAGCACCAAGTATAATAATTTTTGTTGAAAGAATCTTTCTTCTATGTCAGATATATCTAGAATTGATGGCTCTTTATAATGAGTTCTTACTTTTTAAATATGGTTAGCTATTCTATAAGATAATTGCCTTTACTTTGATGTTTCTGAAATTGCACATTTTTAAACTCTTTTGCTAGATTAATGTGCAACATATATTCATCTTCTCTGAAAATCTTATTAAGTTCTGCTTAGTTGAACGGCACTATCAATAAAATCCTGTTTTGTTATATTTGCAACCAACAAAATATCTGGTTTGTTGACTGTCTGTCATTATGACTCAGTAGTATTCCATTTTATAGAAGTGTCTGATGGATTTTCAATTTTATAG